CGCTCTTCGGGTCCCCTTTTACAGCCAACAGGAATCGGAACACGAATCTAGAAACACAGCCATGCGGCAATAGAAACGATCCCGAGCCTTGACATTCCAGCAGGATGAAGGGAGCCGCAGGCCGGCCAAGCAATGGGACCCGTCGGAGGGCGGGGGAGGGTCTTCCCTTCGCAACTGGATTTGTGGACATAAACAGTTCTGGGACGGGTCTTTCTGTCACGGGATTCATTCCCCGAGCCATAGGCACGTTGAGTCTGTATTTCATGTGGTCACGGTTCCTTGTCAAGCCCTGGAGTTTCCTGGGCTCGTCTGCATTTTATTAGGGGGAGGGGGCGAGTTAAGTTACTACCGAGCGTCTATTAGTCAGCTAGTCACAGTCCAAGTTTTATTCCACTCCTTCGCTTCGTTGCACGAGACTCGTGAGTAAACGTTGCACAAGAGAGTGAGCCCTTGCGGGATCGGAGCACTAGGCGGTGAGGGGAGATGGTGAGAAAGGACCCGATCCTGCCTTGGAAGCTAGTAAGAGTTTCAGGATTGGGCCCCAAACAGTTTTTTTTAGAACAGAAACAACACCACAGCTTCAATCCTTAGATCAGAAACCAGGGGCCCGATTCTGATATTAACGACATCGCTAAGCAGCCATTCAAAGGACAGGAGTTATTCCAGGCTGATATGGTGGGAAATCAGCCAGAACAATCTAGTAACCCCTATCGTTGGCTCATTACTCCCAAGGCGTTGTGAGTGCTTTCAAGGAGAGGCGTCTAGAGATCACACGTCAGTTTGTAAACCATGTGATCCTTAGAGCTCGAACTGGTTAATATTTGCAGTGTTTGTCACCTGTTCTGTAACGAAAGAGTTGGGAGAGAGGGGAAAAGTCACTGATGACGTTCTTTTAAGGAAAGTAAAGGCGTGGGTTGTTTTCAGGGTAAAATGACAGCGATTAGAGAAAGAAAGCCACTATCACACAACAAATCATGCTAGATTCCATGATGCCAACCTTTCTGTCCCGCAAGGATAAGTAAGGACTGAATCCTGAATGCAGCTATTTTGCCATAGTACTGTACATCTAGATCATGCATTATAAATTATAGAGACTTCCGCATACACCTGGTATACACACACATATACATAGAATCTGTATAGGGAGCGCAATGAGGTGTAGCTGCATTTTCAACCCATGTGCTCTCTCTCTCTCTCTTCATACCCATTCATTTTCATTCTGAGAATCAATTCTATGGGATTGTTATGTATTTGCACTGGAGTTCTGGATCTCTCTCTCTCTCTCTCTCTCTCTCTCTCTCTCACACACACACACACACACACACACACACACACACACGGCATCGTTCAGAATGGAAGCACAATGGCAAACAAAGAAGAAGTAAAGAAGATGAAACCGAGAAAGTATAGCCTCCCACTCCATGGCTCAGAGTAAAGAGAAACCTCGTCACATGAACACTTGCACAAGTTACTCACATCTCCCCATTCGGGAACAAACTGGCTGTGTTTTTGTCTCTATCATGAGCAGCGCAGTTATTGGAAGACAGACATGACCATCAAGAATATAAGGTGAAAGACCTAATTTTGACAAATGGAAAATCAGGAGTACTCCTCTAAAGTTAATAGAGTTACACCAGCGAAACGCAAATCTCAATCTTAGGAGGGCTAAAGGTACTTTATGGCAGTAACGTTTCCTTTTCTTCCCCTATCCTATTTTCTATACTCTTCTCCGATGTATTCTCTCTCCCCCTCCCCATTACTGTATACTTTAAAAACTTTCCGCTAAACAGGACAAAATCAACACGGGATTTCCCCCATCCTGTATGATATTAATAACAAACATAATCTTTTTAAGGCTCATCTACATGGGCTAATTTTTAAAAAAATAAAGTTAGCCCATATACATCACCTCCAACGCTAACATTTTACGTGCAGAAATCCTGCCCACACAAAGTCATATCTGTGAGTCTCCTTCCCATTATTCTCAAAGCAGATGATGAGTTTTATCTTTATTTATAGATCAGAGGACCAAACAAATCGAATGAAATGATGTTTACAAGTGGAATATATTAAGATTCTCAAGAAGCCTCTCTATCCCAAATTTGCATTAGAAAATCAAATGTTGTAGATTGCAGTATAATTCACGTTCGCTTTCGATACCAACATCACAGTATAAATAATCCTCCCTCTGCCCTCCCCCCCGCGGACCTCGATGTGTTTCCCACCATTTGGCTACCGAGGTGCTGCAGTTCTCAACTAGTTGCAGGAAAGGAATAAAAATCTTTCCATCCCTTATATTTCACTCTCTTTAACACCGCGGCAATTCTGTCCCTGCTGTTTTAGTGGAAGTACCGGTCTATAAAGCTGCAACTGCAACATATTTTAAAATACTACCATTTGTAAAGGGGGTTAGAATAATTCTGCTTTGCTTGGGAAGGAGAGGCTCAAAATATATGCACGATTAATGTTTTATAACACTGTTCAAGGAAATTGAAACATTCTGTGACAGCCTCGCTGTAAAGGCAGGTCTTTCTGGCAAGTGTTCTGTATGTATTTGTTACATTGCTGTGTTTTGAGTCGAGTAAGCAAGAATCTCGTAAAGGGAAAAAATGTTCCTTAAAAAT